CTTGAAGAGATACTTGCACTCCAATGTTCATTGCAGCATTACTTACAATAGCCAAGACACTGTAACATGGAAACTAAGTGTCCATCAACAGATGAATAAATAAATTGTGGTATATATACAATGGAATATTTTTCAGCCCTAAAAAATAAGGCAAGCTTCCCATTTGCAACAACTTGGATGGACCTGGAGGGCATTATGCCAATTGAAATAAGTGGAAAACAGAAACAGTAGAATGGTCATTGCCAAGGGCTAGGGGATGGAAAAATGGGAAGAGGCTGCTTATAAGGTATAAACTTTCAGGAGGAATAAGGTCTGAGGATCTAATATACAACATGGTGAGCAGAGTTCATATTGTATTGAAGGGGCGCCTGAGTGGCTGTCAGTTGAGCTAGACGTCTAACTTGATTTCCAATCAGATCATGCTCTCAGAGTTGGGAGATCTGAGTCCACCTCAGGCTCTGCTCTCAGCAGGGAGTCTACTTGAGGATTCTCACTCCCTTCTCCTTCTGCCCCTCGCCTGCACGCACTCTCTCTAATAAAATCTTTTTTAAAAATACTGTATTTGACCTTTTACGAAGATGGCGCCGAAGGCTAAGAAGGAAGCCCCTGCCCCTCCCAAAGCCGAAGCCAAAGCAAAGGCTTTGAAGGCCAAGAAAGCGGTGCTGAAAGGCGTCCAGAGTCACAAAAAAAAAGAAAATCCGCATGTCACCTACGTTCCAACAACCCAAGACACTGCGTCTGCGGAGGCAGCCCAAATATCCTCGAAAGAGCGCCCCCAGGAGAAACAAGCTTGATCACTATGCCATCATCAAGTTCCCCCTGACCACTGAGTCAGCCATGAAAAAAATAGAAGACAACAACACACTTGTGTTCATTGTGGATGTCAAGGCCAATACCAGATCAAACAGGCTGTGAAGAAGCTCTACGACATTGACGTGGCCAAGGTCAACACCTTGATCAGGCCTGATGGAGAGAAGAAGGCATATGTTCGACTGGCTCCTGACTATGATGCTTTGGATGTTGCCAACAAAATTGGAATCATCTAAACTGAGTCCAGCTGGCTAAATCTAAATTAAATTTTTTTCACCAAAAAAAAAAAAAATAAAATAAAATACTGTATTTGATAACTGAAATTTGCTAAAAAAGTAGAACTTAAAAGAGTTCTCAAACACAAAAAAGTAAATAGGTAAGGTGAAGGATGTGTTAATCAAGTTGATGGTGGGAATACTTTTCATGATGTATACATTTATCAAATTGTCACACTGTACACTTTCAATATATTACAAGTATTTGTCATTTATAACTCAACAAAGCTGAACAGCAACTAAAAATCTACTCCATACAATCTTGTCCATTATTGACAAGAAGGCTATTATCAGTCTATTATTTGCTTCTAGGTAATATGTCTTTCTCACTGGTTGCTTTTAGAATTGTACACATATTCCCAAGGATATGTCTAGATGTAGGAATACTTTTATTACTCTGCTTTGGACTTACTCTGTCTTTGATCAATTCAGGGAAATTCTCAGCTATTTCTTTGAATGTGGACCCTCATCCTGTCTCTTCCTCTGCGACTCAAACAAGGCTCCTACTAGACGTTTCATTCTGTCCTCCAAGTCCCTCAACCTCTCTTTCATATTTCCACCTCTATCACTGCACTACATTCTGGTAATTTCATCACTTTAGGTAGGCCCAATCTGCTGTTAATCATCCCTTGAGTTTGTTTTTCTAATGACTTTTTTCATTTCTAGGCATTTTATTTGATTCTCTACAATTACCTCTTGGCCCTTTTGATATGCTCCTGTTCTGTCTTTGAGGCTTTTATTCATTCTTTTCTCTCTTGTGTTATTTTGAAATATACTTTAAAATCACAAATTATTCTTTTGCTCATGTATTTGGCTTGCTAATTTTCCTGTCTGTTGTGTCTGCTGGTTTTCCCTCAGTGGCACACTTATTTTTTATTGTGAGCTCAATTTATTGTGAGCTCAAAAGCATGGGCCTGCACAAGTCATGGCTAGTGGAAGTATCCCTACAGTGAAGCTTCTGTCAAGTCTTTTAAAGATTTTATATGCAGTTTGTAGTGCTCTTTTAAGAGTCCTAGCTTTGTGTAGGAGCCTCTATACCCATTTAGACATTGAAACATCAGTCCTTAGGATTTATATCTGATCCACGGCATCAGTGCAAGCCTTTCTCAAGTTTTAAAATCCCATCCCCCCTCCCCCCGGGATATTTCCTCTTTCTACGCTCTTAGATCTTTCTTAACTAAACACACCCTCAAATCATTTAATATTTACTAAACTGATAATGCCTACAGGCACATTTAGTGTATGACATCCACAATAGAACAAAGTTATCCAAAAACTGCTGCTTAGTCTAATTTGGATACTGAACATCTTTTATATAAATCCTCAATTTGTTCTAGCAACCACATCATTATTATGCTGCATACATACGAGGCTCCATTCACTTAAAATCCATGGTTCCTTGACATAGGAACTAATGCCAAAACAATTTCTGACATCTAAAAATGCTTCACATTTATCCTGCATGAATTTTGTTTTTTACATTTTACACACAAAGGTGAAGTCAGTACTATACAGCAATTTGGAAACCTTAAAAACAAACAAACAAACACCTAGCTTTCTAAGAGGGGTAAGACTGTTCCTGTGTGTGATAGACCCTATTATTTCTGCCTGCCCAGCAATCCATACAGAACCCTTATTCTAAAAGAAAATTTAGCGACTGCCTTCGGCTCGGGTCATGTCCTGGAGTCCCGGGATCGAGTCCTACGTCGGACTCCCTGCTCAGCGGGGAGTCTGCTTCTCCCTCTGACCTTCTTCCCTCTCGTGCTCTCTCTCTCTCTCTTTCTCTCTCTCAAATAAATAAATAAAATCTTTAAAAAAAAAAAAGAAAAAAGAAAATTTATTCCATTGGGGCGCCTGGGTGCTCAGTTGGTTAAGTGTCTGCCTTTGGCTCAGGTCATGATTCCAGGGTCCTGGGATTGAGCCCCATCGGGCTCTCCACTCAGCAGGGAGCCTGCTTCTCCTTCTCCCTCTGCCTACCTCTCTGCCTACTTGTGCTCTCTGTTGAATAAATAAATAAAATCTTTTAAAAAAATTTATTCCATGTAATTCAGATGGGGATTATCCTGCCCAACCACAGGCAAGAGCTCCTGATCCCATGCCCCAGCTACAAGGGACTGGTTTGGAAATGGGATTTACTCCAAGCCAGAAAAGTAAGAGCCGTCTCTAGGAATTTTGTTGGCAATTTCAAAATAAGGCCTCTTTCCCTTCCTGAGATTTTAAACACTAAATATGCCATCCATGTAAATCTAAGATGCTGCAACTATATGGACAGATAATGTATCTGGGAATGAAACTGAAAGAGAAAACTGGAGCTAAGAGATTAGAAGAGAAAGACCAAGTTTTGATGATATAATTTAAGCCACTGGATATAACTGTGAAATTCCTAGTTACACAAACGGAATTATTCCATTGATTTTCTCTAACTGGGTTCAGCTGCTTTTCTGTATTGCCAGCAAGGCACATAATACAATGTAGTAAGCTTAACTTACTACAGTTACCAAAGAGTTCCCATATTCCACCAAAAAACCCACCATCTCTTTTGTAGCGCTCATATCAAATTCTGTCACAGTAGCTGCTACTTGGGGGAAAAAAATGGTTATTTTGTAAAGGTTATAAGGCTAGATGCTTTTTTAAATAGATTCATGGTAAACCCTAAAACCATATCTGTAGAAGCAGAATAATCATCAACTACTTTCTTCTGTTTTAAGTCAAAAGAGGTCTCCTGCATCCTAGGGCAAACAAAAGTTTCACTTGACTGGAATGCTCTGCATCACTATTCTGTTTCTCTTCTTCCTTTCACTTTCCAAATTTCCAACTTTAAAAAAGCAATCTATTTCCCCTAAAATCTGGCTTCTAAACACTAAGTGTAATGATGATTTTACAGTCCTCAATCTACATAATACCTGATCCAAGCAATTCACTTCATGAATCCCCTCTGTTTCACCTCTCCTAAGGCAGAGGTAAGAATGGAGAGGAGTAGGAATACCTCACAGGAAGTGTTCCAGAGAACATCTGCGGAATGCTGGCAGGAAGTGTTCCAATTACAAGTGCATGATTGCTTTGTTCAAGAATATTTAATCTTCTGTCCTTTGGCACGGAAGAAAAGTTCCAAGTAAACAACTAAAAACAACCAATTTCTCAACAGAAGTATTGTAAGACTCGGACGCCTGGGTGGCTCAGTCGTTAAGCGTCTGCCTTCGGCTCAGGTCATGATCCCAGGGTCCTGGGATCGAGCCCCGCATCGGGCTCCCTGGTCGGCGGGAAGCCTGCTTCTCCCTCTCCCACTTCCCCCTGCTTGTGTTCCCTCTCTCGCTGTCTCTCTCTGTCAAATAAATAAAATCTTAAAAAAAAAAAAGTATTATAAGACTTATTAGCTATACTTAGCTTTCCTTTCATAATCCATATTAATGTGGGAGAAGACTAATAATAGAATACAAACCCGAGGAAACAGGTTAAGAAGGTTAAGGAAACATTCTAAAGATATTAAATTGAGTCTAAATACAATATTCCTAAATAAATTTCAACATTCCCCACTAAGAACAATAAATATCTTGCAAATTAAGAGAAAAGCAAGCCAGAAAGAAAACTGTACAAGATGCTAGTGAATGAACTAAGAAGATCCAAACTCTGAAAAATTACCATTTAGACAATATCCTGGTTTTCTTTAAAATATAAATCAATTAAAATATAATCAATGTTGACTTTCAAGAGTGTATTAATTTATTGCTTTTGGTCATTCATGTCTACTTGCAAGAAAGAGGGCACATTCTTAGTAAGATAATAGAATGGGAAAAATCCATATAAAGCATTAGTTTTGAGCCTCAAGGCTACTGAGAAAAGTAAAAAACTAACTAATGGAGTCATATTTATGGAAAACTAGCTGACTTTATTATTATTATCAATACCAAACAAGTCTTTAAAGTCAGTTAAAATTTATTTAATTAAGCATAAAGTAACTTTCACATTTGTCTACAACCATAGTAAATACAGTTCTGGGCAAAAAGACACAGCCTTTGGAGTTTAAAACATCCCCAACTGCAAGATTACATATAAAACTCCCATTATTGTTTACGTGATAGTGGATTTGTTAATCAAATTAAAATAATTATACTATCTAGAATAAAATAAAATGGAAATAATTTACTCATAAGTTTCATATTTAAATCATCTTTATTTACAAAATACTATCCTGAGAATTATAATTCCATTAAGCTTCAATTTGAGCAAAAGTGTAATTACTTAAGTAACAGCAGTTACTTAAACTGAAAATGAGACAGAAGTCAAAATTATTTTTGAAGAGAGATCAAAAATATTATCAAGTTTCTTGTTGTGGTTCTGGATGCTCAGTAGTAGGCTCATTTGAAGGTGGAATCAACCCTGATGGGAACTCACTTCTACCCTCAGGATGTGGGGGTGGGGGAAAAAATCCAGCTCTTGGGGGGAAGTAATGAGGAAAACCTCTCGGTGCATAGACATTTCTCACTGTTCAAAGAGATTGGTAAAAGACATTTTTTAACTTTAAGTACCTGTACTGCAATTCTAATAAATGATTAGCTTATAACTTACAATACCTATCTTTACATTCAAAAATTGACACCCAAATAATTATTTGATCTAACAAATGAATTTTTACAACATTGAGAAAAAACATACTCTCTTCAGCTGCACACAATTAAAGGGAACATCATTAATTTTAGGACACAATTTTCATCCTATGAAAACCTAACATCTGAACACTTTTTAAAAAGAATTATTTCAAAATACATAATAAAACTTTCTTAAAAGTTTTCATGTCATATAATTTTCACCAGACTTAAAATTCTGATCAGTAATTCCCAATTCGAATTTTATATTATCCTAAAACATTTAGTTATATTAAGGACTATCTTGAAATTCCCCAAAATTCATTTTATTTCACCTTAAATAGAGGAGAAATGAGGGAAGAAATACCACATCAGGCATATACTAGCCTTTCTCCTAGTGTTTGGTTAACTATGTATTTATTCTACAGAAACATACAGTTCTAAAGTTCTAAAGTTCTATCTATAGATATAAAAGCAGAAAACTCTTTTTTTCTTATGTGAGGCTATGAAAGAATTTCAATAAATTCAACAACTGGTCCAAACATGATAAAAATATTTTAGGTTCTAAATAAGTAGGTCTGTATAGGAACTACTTACGAAAAAAAACTTGTAAAAATACTTCAGCCAGTAATTTTAATGCTAAAATATAGGCAGTAATTATTTTTACTAACTGATGCAGTAACCAGTTTCTAATCAAATAAGACATAAATAATTTTGGTCTTAATGTAAGACTGCTGCAAAAAGCCAATGATTTTCCTGATTACCGAAATACAGAAATAATTCCGTATCATTAGGAAGAATCATGTGGAAGCCTCATTACAGTCTACTAATGGCTGGCTGCCTTCCCAATTTGGAAGAGTAATGGTATACTCACAAGTGAGAAAAACTTATTATATGAATAGGAAGTAGAATTATATCTTTGATTTACTCTACAGAACACATACTAAATTTAAAAAAACAAAAACAAAAAACATACTTGCAAATGGAGGATGTGGTGGGCCAGGGAAATCCCTTGGTGGAAAATAATCTCGGGGAGCTCCATACATGCTTCCTGGAGGAGGTGGAGGAAAAGGAGGACCTCTTCTCATGAATGGGCCCCTTGTATCCATTGGAAACAATGGAGCCCTGATTGGAATAAGAGGTGGAGGAATGAAGCCAGGGCCCGTTGCTTCACTTTCGGCGGGGAAAGATGAATCAGGCACATTTAAATTCTATAACAAATTGACATAAAGTGGTCACTAAAACAACAGCAAAATTTGCAATAATCTTCCTAAAAATCTTAGGTTTAGAAGAAAGCACCTAGGCAGAAAGCAGTCTATGATAGTCTTAATAGTCTCCTGAGAAAGATTCCGTTTTCTACATCAGACAGAGTTTTGCAATCACAAATATTAACTCAAAAGAAAACAGCTTTAACCAAAACAGAGTAATACTCTGGCTAAAGATAAAACACAAGAATAGTCCAAGAGTACCAAAACATACATATTTTTATCAAGCATGTACTGAAAACAATATGTTTATGTTTATATTTTCAACATAAAATAAAGTGACTAAAAGCAAAAACTGTAAACATAGTAACAAAAATATACTTTAAAACATTCAAATAAAAATTCAAGGGGGAAAATCCAAATTCTTGTTTAACTTTAGTAAACGAACTCAAGCCTCTAGTCTATAAGTTGTACTTTATCATAGTGTACAATCCAGAAAAGAAACAGCTATAAGGCATACAGGAAGTATATATCTTTGTCAAAATGGGAGAAGCAGCTTTATTTCAAGAACTAGATTGCTAGCTAAATTTCTCTTCTAGTAAACCAAGAGAATGGAAAGTTCCTGAAGGCATGGATAAAATTCCACTTTCAATACTTACACCAAGGTCGTCTTTTTTATCATTTCTACTGGATTCCATTTCTGAAGACATTGGACCATCTAAACATAAAAGTTAAACCATGAAAAATACATGACTGATCACTCTATTCCTAGAATGTCTCCCAATCACAAAGGATTGTTGTTATTTCCCCATTCCCCGTTAGCATATAAACCAGCCTGATACCAGCATCCTGCATTGTGGCCACAAGAAAGCTTTAGGTCACTGGAAATTCTGGCACACTCAAAGTTCTGCAAAGGCATGTGGCAATGATTTCCGTGGCTTGGTCCTAGGCAACCCTGCTAAAATGCATCATTAGGAGACTTCTGGAAGGCGGCACCCCTCACCCTTTTCCTTCTTCCCTTCCTTTCTTTTCGCCCTCCCTCCCTTCTTCCCTCCTCCTCCTTGCACCCTACTTTCCTAATTCCTCCATCAGGTAACATATACTAGCATTTGAATTTAGCTGTTGTTCAAAATAAATGTTCCTGGACTTTGTTACCACCAAGAACTGCTCAGTCCATGAGAAGGTAAATTCAAACAACCCTCTCTCTGACCACAACTACCTATCCTTGCCTAGCCTTCTCATTTAGTTATTCTCACTACACCTGTTCTTGTCACTGAAGCTTCCAGTCTCTCTCTTCATTTTCTTCAGTTTCCTCTTTTCTTCATGTCCTCCTCCTTAACTGACTTCAAAGTCCATCACTGCAACCAGTCATCGATGTCCTTACCCAACTGGCCATATTTCTACATGTGCTTGACAACATTCTAGCCCTATATTAATCCAACTCTCCACTTCCACTCTGCCTATTCCTGAACCACTCAGCACTTCTGCAGATAAAATAAATCACAGATGTATAGACAGGGTCCACTCCAAGCTGATGGATTTCCAGCCATACTTGCAGTGGCTCAATGACTAACCGTTCTGCATCTTCCAAACCACATTTCTCCTCAGGAATTTTAAAGCTCCATTCTCTTCAAACCTACTACACCAGTCACTTAGAAACCTCCCTTAACTTTTTTGGGCGCCTGGGTGGCTCAGTTGGTTAAGCGACTGCCTTCGGCTCAGGTCATGATCCTGGAGTCCCTGGATCGAGTCCCGCATCGGGCTCCCTGCTCGGCAGGGAGTCTGCTTCTCCCTCTGACCCTCCCCCATCTCATGTGCTTTCTCTCTCTCTCATTCTCTCTCTCAAATAAAATAATCTTAAAAAAAAAAAAAAGAAAAAGAAACCTCCCTTAACTTTTTGTAATCAAGCAAACAAATGTATCAACTATATTCCTCTGATCTTTCCTCCTATTATCATGGAAAAGGATCCTTCTAGACGATCTATGACCCTGGTTCTGTGCTCTGAATCCCTCCCCTGTAGCTTCCTAAGAAATCTTCCTCTTTCTGTTGCCTCCCTCCTCCCTTTCTGCTAGACCCATTCTATTAGCAAGTCTCTCCCAACTACTATTTAAAAATGAGACAGAAAAAGAAAATTTCCCTACAGCTACCCTTCTCTTCTGTAACCAATAATTGTTCTCTATATACTGTTCGGAATTCCTCTCATTTTGTCCTCGTTTTACTGCAATTGATTTGCAACATCTACCACTCTATCAAAATTATTTTCCCCAACATCAAAAAAGTATCAGGAATGCTGAGCTCCTATTCACCACTGAAATACAGCAACTACCGTAATGCCTGTCATATGGTAAACACTATGAGTCCTTATTTTACATTATTTCTCACCGTTGTTGACCACTCTTTCCCTCTTTAAATCCTCTCAGCCTTCAATTCTTGTGATGGTACCCTTCTCTATCTTTCCTTATGCTAGCTGCTCCTTCTCAGTCTCTTTGGTGGGCTCCACTACCTCTGACCATCCTTAAATGATGGTCTCCACGGAGTTCCACCTTGGCCCTATTCTCCTTTCATTCTCTCTTTGAGAAATGCCATCCACTCCTACAGCTTTAATTTGGTGTATACTAACTAATGACTTCCAGATGTGTAATTCAGATCTAGTTATTTTCCTTACTAGGACTTCGAAGTCTGAACTGCCTCTCTGAATATTCATGCAGGTGTATCACAGGTGATGCTAATTTTGCAAGTTCACAAAGTAACTTATAATCTTTCCTGTCAAATTTGCTGCTGCTCCTTGCTCTTTGTCTCAGAACGATGAATGGCCCAGATGCCACAGCCGGGAACCTAGGCATCAGCCAAGACTCCTTCCCCCACACTCCCACATGCTTTCAAATTCTAAATCCTCCCAATTCTCTTTTCTCTATGTTCGCTCACATCTCTGGATCATCCCCTCTGCTAAATCACCACCCTCACTCATGTAGATTCCTGATACAGACTCCTAAGAAGTTACCCTGCCTCCAATCTTGACTGCTCCCTACAATCTATTCACCATAATGCAACCACACTAATTCCTCTAAAATGCAGATCTGATTATATCATTTCTCTAATGTGTTCCCATTACCCTGTAAATAAGGTCCAAGTTTTGAACAGGTTTGCAAGGCCCTGAGAACTCTATGCACTGCTTAAACTCTTCACTACTTGTTTCAATATTCCCTGACTCACACTCATGTGGCAGCTATAATTTATTAGGACTTCTTACATCTTAATCTTTAAAGATGCTATTCTCTTCTCCTAGAACATTATTTCTCCCATCATTTTAGTCCAGCTAATTCTGGACCTGTAAATCTCAGCTTATACATGCTCTAGGAAAATTTTGACTACCCCACACTCAAAACCCCAATACCTCATCTTGGTAAGTGCCCCATATGGTTCCATAACATTTTGTACTCATTACTTTTGTCACTATGTAGTACAACTGCATATAGGTCTTTATTAGACCTCAAGTTATAAGGAATGCTGAGCTCCTATTCACCACTGAAATACAGCAACTACCATAATGCCTGTCATATGGTAAGCTTTCTATAGACATTTAGTGCATCAACTGATAGATCCACTACCCTCTCAATTTCAATAATGAATATTGATCAAGACCACAGCTCTGGAGTCAGACAAGCATGGGTTCAAGTCCTGCCTTTGATACTTCCTACCTGAGATACTGAGCACCTTTTTGAGCCTTGATTTCTTCATCTATAAAATGAGGATAATAGTGTCTATTTCATAAGTTCATTGTGAAGATTAAATAATTCACTTTCATTCAATAAATGTTTATAAGCACTACAGCTAGTCAATGTGTTTTAACCAGATCTCTGACCATTCTCCTCCATGTAACACATACTGACAAACCAATAAAAATGTATTACATTTATACAGAACTTTTCTGTTTACAAAATACTTCAGCACACATTAATTCATTTAACCCTCGTAAGACTTTGTCAAGTGATTAATATCTCAGCTTTACAGCCATTATTCATCAATGACTTGTGTTGTCTCTTTTGTTTTTACTTAATGCTGTTCATCATCATTGGCACAGACCCTCATCTCTCAACCAATTTTTCAAATTCCCTCAAAAGTAGCTCAAATGCCACTTCCTTCATGGAGTTTTCCCTGACCCTTCAACTAGATGACAGTTCGTTCTGTGAACACAGTATATTTTCTAATGGAACTTAACTATTCTGATCAGTATTAATTAAAAATATATATTTTTCTCCACATTTAATTATTAACTTCTTACAGGCAGAAACTATACCTTATGATAATTATATTCTCTGTCATGTCATGGAGGGCATCTTCTAAACAGCAGACACTTAAAAATTATCTAATTAATTGGAATTGTTCAATAACAACAAAAAAGGATATGTAAAAAATTTTAAATAGCATTAGTTTAAAAAGAGATATTCAATCACATATATACTTTCACTACATTAAGCTTGAATTAATGGGGGGAAACAATTTCAAAATCCAAAGGTTAGAACTTAATTATAACTAATTATAATTAATCCAGGCCATAGATCTCCTTCGATTATTCAAAAAAAATTGATTTTCTAAAATAATAAATATTTCAACCAGATAATGTCCACCCCCCTGCAAATATATACCCTGTCCTGAAGAAACAGTTCACCAATAAATTTATTTTAAGTTTCTACTTACTTTTAATCTTTTTAATGTTATACACTTCTGAATGATATACTGGATATATATATTTTCCAACTTCAGTGGGTTGCTGTGAGGTGGTTTGAGGAAAAGAGTGCCTGATAGATAGTAGGTTGCTCAATAAATGTTAGTTAAATCTATCTGAGTATGTAATGTTTAAATAAGGTACTTGGTTAAAGCAGCAACAAAGCATGCACCCAAATTATTTTTCTGGTGGATTTTCATTATGTCCATTCACACTAGCTTAACTTCCTGATTACTAAATAGGATATATGTAAGTGGGCTGGAAAAATTTAAAAAAATTAATCATGGAACAGAGTAAAATCTGCCATCACAGCTAAATATAGTAAACCCATTACAATAATGCCCACATCAACCATTAACACGTATGAACATGCCACAGATACTTACAATATAACAAGAAACATAAAACTAGAAAGTTTTCAGGAAAGATTTTGGCATTAAGAGCTACCAGAGATATCAGTTATTAGTCCTTTTTTCAGCTTCCAGTTCTTTAGTGTGCCACTATTATTAAAAAACATATACATACACAAAGTATTTCTTACCCACTTTATCCAAAGACGGCATATTAAAATTTCTGAGTTCTGCTGGCCCAGATAGTCTGCCAGAATTAGAATAAAATCGGTCTTGCCTTTGTGGAGGAAAAGCTGGATCAGGATATGCTTGGCCTAGAAAACAAGTGTGTAAAATATTTTCATTAGTATAAAAATAAATCACCTTTGGGGCGCCTGGGTGGCTCAGTCGTTAGGCGTCTGCCTCCGGCTCAGGTCATGATCCCAGGGTCCTGGAATCAAGCCCCACATCGGGCTCCCTGCTCAGCGGGAGACCTGCTTCTCCCTCTCCCACTCCCCCTGCTTGTGTTCCCTCTCTCACTGTGTCTCTCTCTGCCAGATAAATAAATAGAAGCTTTAAAAAATAAATAAATAAATAAATAAATCACGTTTATTTAAGTTTAATATATTGAACATAGACATTTCTCTTGCTTCCTAAAAAACTGACCCATATTCTTGGTAGACAATAGTAAATAATTTGAGGAAAACTATTTATTTACTAAAGACAATAACTTTTGTAGTAAACACAAGTATAACATGCTACTCTGGATTTGGAATTTTCCAATTCAATGAAGGAAGTAAATACATCAACCTATCAAAACCAATATTGAGAAGACAGCTCCTAGCAAAGAAAGAAAAAAAGGAGTATGCTGTAAGCATATCAGGAAATTTAGCAGACCAAACAAGGATAAAAGAAATAGTCACCAAAGCAGATACCATTCAGAGGTCATCAAGGATCAAATTTTCAGTAACGTCAATATTTTGGAATTTAGCACCCCTCCAAAACTTAAGGGGAAGAACTCTCACTCAACAGATGAACAGAAGGGTCACAATGCGCAGATTAACGACACCTGGACAGACACAAATCCGGGCACAGACTCTGACTCGGGTGCTTCCACAGCCACCCTTCGTTGTCCCCAGAGGTCACTTATGATGACAAAATTGTCATTCCTGGGTCCTTGTAGAACTCATCATTCTTGAAAAAATATAGGTGGTCTATCTCATCTTTGACAGGTGATGGCAGATTTTGACAGATTAGGTATGCATATGCCCAACTCCAAAAATAAGAGGAAAGTCAAAGGGGGTGAACTATGACTCTTTCTTACCCATACAGATATGGAAAAACAGCTGCAAACCACCTTCCATGACTGTCCTAAGCAGTGGTTCATAAGGTGAACTCCACACAGTGTTGGATAGGTCATTCCTCATCTGACTCTGCCACATGGGACCGTACTGACACACCTCTCCCACACAAAGCCAAGGAAACCACTCAGCATCAACCAGAGTTAATGGACAGAATTATATTTAATGAGCTCCCAAGGGCCAAGGGATGTGAATCGGGAGAGAAAAATCTGGATGGACAGTTTCAGGCTCATTTCCTCCCTCTTTCAGAATCTTAGCAAAAAGCTGTCTCAATGGGTCTGAATTATTAGCCCAATGAAAGAAAAGGCCAATACCAACCACTGAGATCTAAACTAAGTTTTCCCTTTCTACTTCAAACATGGGATTAATTAAATGGCAGAGCTGGGCAAGGGGATAAAATGGGGAAGCCTGAAAACTTCCAACTCTTCTTAATCAAGTCTCAAGATACCATACTATATCATTATTTTGCTTCTAAAATACATCCACACAGTATCAGCAACCTCAGAAATACAAAATTAAAAAAAAAATACAAAATTTTGCTACAAGCTTGCTATTTTATAAATCATATACCCATGGTGCTCTCCAATGGCCAAAATAATTTATTCTTCAAGTCTACCAGGGTCTACTGTATACATGACACTACTGATATAAAGTTGGTTTTGATATAGTCCACACTTTTATAGTCTATGGTGACAGAATTAAATACAATGTGACCAATGCCTTAATAAAGACTTACACAAATTATGAGTGGTGGCCTACTGAATTCTAATTGGAGGAATCAGAAATGGTGGTGTTATGGAGGACGTAAAGCTTGCCCTGAGAGAAAAGGAAGGATGAACAAGTAAACAAGGGTATTCTGGTCAAACTCAGATACACATATACACGCAATGTAATAATATAAAGTGATGTGGAAGGCATATGACCAATGAGACTGAAATATAGAAAATAAAGAAAAATAGTTCCTTGCTTGCTTTAATACCTTTGTTTTCTACCACCCTTATAAGAGAAGAAATGATTAAAAAGAAAGAATGGGAGAAGGAAAAAAATGAATAAAGGCTGCAAATAAGTATACACAACATTCTGAGGTAGTTTCATAAACTAAGAATTAGAATAAAATCCAAGATGCCTGGGTTAAACAAAAATGTTGTTTATCTATTTTCATTCCATAATAAAACTTGGACTGTAATAGCTCCCCGAGTACTTCTTTTAATATTGGATTCTATCACATAACAGAAACAAAGAGAATTATAAAGATGGATAAAGAAATAGAATTTTTTTAGGTTTAATACTGGCTAGTAATAAAGTACAATAAACATCTTCATTCACAACATGATGAAATAGTTTATTCTAATAATTAAGGAATTTAAATGAAATGAAAAAGCAAAACTTCTAGAAAGTAGATGAAAGCAGCATTGATATGGATAGGTTAGGAGTCTGGAATAAAGAGACCAATGGTATAGAGAGAATGTCTAAGAAACAGATGTATGTAAATATGGACATTTAATTTAAGATAAAGTGGTATTTCAAACTGATGAACCAATATATAGTATCAAAATAACTGTCTACTCAATGAAAAAAAAAAAACTCCTCACACTAAACACTAAAACAGAGATAAAATATAGATCTAAAACTTAAAACAAAATTTTAAGTTTTTAGAAGAAAACAGAGTATCATTTTGATCTAGGAACAGGTCTTAAACAAAACAAAAATTCTATAAAAAAAAACATAGATTAACTTACCTATAATAAAATTTGAAACTTTTATATAACAATAACATACATAATAACAAACCGAGAAAATATCTGCAAAAGACAAGATTAACATCCAAAATATACTAAGAATTCCTACTGGGGCTCCTGGGTGGCACATTCAGTTGAGCATCTGACTCTTGGTTTTGGCTCAGGTCGTGATCTCAGGGTTGTGAGATCAAGCCTCACACCGGGCTCCACATTCAGCGAGGAGTCTGCTTACCCCTCTCCCTCCCCCTCTGCCCCTCACGCCACATTCTCTCTCTCTCTCTCTCTTCCTCTAATAAATAAATAAATAAAATCTTAAGAAAAAAAGAATTCCTATTAAGCAAGAAATAAAATGGGTCAGGCAATTTACAGTAAATACAGATAATACAAATTACCAATAAATATGAAAAGATACTCAAGCTCACTAATCAAAGAACTATATATAAAAATAAGATTAAAATTTTAACTCTTATCACTGGAGATATTCAAAAAAGTTTTACATCAAGTACTGGAGAAATAACTACTCACAAATATTTCATGCACAGCCACTCTCTTGAGGACAACGTGGCAGTATCTATTAAAGTAAAAAATATGCTTATCCTATTACTCAGCAATTTCATTTCTTGGACTCATCTCTAAAGAACATGTATGCAAGGGGTGTTAACTACAGCACTGTTAGTAATAGTGAAACACTGGAAATACCCTAAATGCTCATCAAAGGACAATGGATAAATATACTGTGGTATATTTATATACAGAATTACTATATAGCAATTAAGGTAATAAACTTTATATTAAAATGGAAAGAACTCAAGAACATATGCTGATTAAAAAAACTTGATAAAAAAGAAAAATAATATATACAAATTTTTATTCATATATGGATCTAAGTTTACACACACTGAACTCATGAGTAGTCACCTTTGTGAAAGAAAGCTCCTAACAGCCCCAGGAAAGGAAATAGAATAAACTTCAACTAATATATATATAGTGTGCTATTTTTCCTTTCTTTTTTCATTTTAAGATTTTTATTTATTTGCCAGTGAGAGAGAGAGAGGGCGCTCACAAGCAGGGGGGAGCAGCAAGCAGAGGGAGAAGCAACTCCCTGCTGAGCAAGGAGTCCAATTCGAGACTAAATCCCAGGACCCTGAGATCATAACCTGAGCCAAAGACAGACACTTAACCAACTGAGCCACCCAGGCATCCCTTTTTTTTTTTTCTTTTTATGTTTTATTTACACATTCTCTCACACACATACACAAACACACACACACACACACACACACACACACGCAAGCACACCCAAAGCAAGTATTAACATGTAAATTCTGGGACGAAATAGATAAGATTTTACTACGTTATCTTTGTTTTTGTTTCTTCTTCTGTAAAATGGGAATAATATTCCTAAGAGTGTTAGAATGATTAATAAAAAGCACTTAACATAATAACTGGCACAATGTAAACACCCCAAAGTAACTGAAGAATAAATTAAACTTTTAGTTTATAAACCATAATAAAATATAATACTGACTGGTCTCATTCAAATTTATCTAGATCCTTGCTGAACCGTCTGTCTAGTTGTTCTACCAACTGTTCAAAGAGGTGCTGAAGTCTTCAACTACAGCTGCATTTATGTTTCTCCTTTTAGTTCTATCACTTTCTGCTTCACATACTTTGTAGCTCTGTGGCTTGCTGTACACACATTTAGGTTTGCTATGTCTTCTTGATCTCTTTTATCATTATTTTCTTTGCTTTAAGTTTACTTTATCCCATAGTAATATCAGCCACTCCTGCTTTCTTTTGATTAATGTTTGCACAGTGTATCTTCTTCCATCCGTTCACTTTCAACCTATCTACCTACACTATGATATTTGAATGACTTCTGTAAAAATAGTAGAGTCAGGTTGGTTTTGTAATCCATTCTGCCAATCTGTTTTTTAACTATTGATATTAGACAATTTACATTTAATGTAATTAATAATTACTGATGTAATTATTAATAATGGAATTAATAAAAATATTAGCGTTCAAGTCTGCCTTTTTTTTTGTTTTCTATTTGTTCCCTGTGTTTATTTTTCTTTTGTCTTTTCCCTGCTTTCCTATGGGTTACTTGGACAGTTTTCAGAATTCCATTTTGATTTATCTGATCTATAGTGTTTTTTTTTTAATTTAAATATTTTTATTGGGGAGCTTAGGTGGCTTAGTAGGTTAAGCATCTGCCTTCGGCTCAGGTCATGG